TTTTTTTTTTTTTGTTAAAGCCAGTTTCTGTCATAGCTTGTACTCGTTCTCTGGTTTTTCTAGAACAAATTTATACATGTATGTATTTCAGGCGGTCAGTGACAACCTGAGTGTGGGACAAGAAGTTTTCTTTTTTTGCTGGAACTATTAAAGATGAATTCAGCAATGCTCAGTTTCTTGGAACTAACTGACAAAGCAACTAAACTGAAGGTGGTCCATTTAAAAAAAAATAATAATAAAATAAATTCTTGTTTCTGTGATGCAGAACTTCATGTAAGGAACACATGCCAATTAAAGTCTATTTCTGAATGCATTTCAGCTTCGTGCATGATTGTTTATAATTAATCGTGTTTTTTTTTTTTTTAGTGCATTTGATTTATTTTATTTTTAATTTTGTTGCAGTGATTATACTTCTTTGTTTTATGCTAGAAGGCACTTTGGCACCATTTAAACTCAAGTTACTGTTAATTTTCCAACAGCAATGTGAGTGCAACACATAATATGCTAATGCTAAAGTGAGTTTATTGGCAGAACCTGCAATCTATGGAACCACCAGAGATGGAGGAAGACCATATATTTGAGTCTGGTAATGGGAAGTGTTCTACTTAATGGGCTTACAGCATTTTAATGAGACCATTCTGGAAATATTTACACAAATTATCTTGGCTTAAAACTAAAAATCAATATTTAGTTGCTTTTTGAATTATCTGCTTGTTCATACCACAAAGTTCCTCCTTTTATATAATATATGTTCCAGAAATATTTTGAGCCAAAAATGTTAAAATAGTCTGACTTTGCAGATGAGGACAGGCTCTCCAGTGGGCTGTCAGGTTGCTATAAAAAGTTTCAGGGCAAGGTAAAACCTAGCTGCAGTGAAAAATGTGCCTGTCATGGCTGAAGAATAACCATGAAGATTAAGGCACACTTGGGATGTGAAAAGGCACTGGTAAGGTAGGTGAATCTACTGAAACACCAAGGAAGGAGGGCGTCCTTACTGTATATGACCCTGATGATGCAATTATTCCAGCCTCCACATAAGATAATGCAGGAAACTGCTCATTTTCATCAGGTTTAGTGAAGGGTGCCAGCCTAAATATTAAATTACCCTTTTTGTCAAAGGTCTAGAGAAACTTTCTATATTTTATGAACAATTTTAGAAGCAGCTTGTGACAAAAACTATTTTATAGATGTTAAAGGGGTGAGTAGAGTTGATAATCGTGTGGTATTTTTCAAAATGTTAAATCATCACGGAGCACACACGCTCCTTAAATCACTGACACATTTGCTTCTACAGCTTAGGCATACCTCGAGCACAGCGAGTCTGATGCTTTGGTTCAGTCAAGTGTAGCATTGTGCAAACAATAGTGAAAAAAGTGGTCTCTTAATAGACTTCTATCAAAAGGAGTTGTCAGGAGCAGCAATACTAGAAGCACATTAGAAGGAAACTGAACAATGCTCAAGTACCTCGACCATCAACTTATTATTCAGTAGATCAACATATTCCTCATCCACATAATGAATGTCACATTAGTTGCAAGTACAGAAGACTTGCATGCTTTAGATCTCTTAAGGCACGTGTCAAACTCAAGGCCCGCGGGCCAGATATGGCTCGCCATGTCATTTTATGTGGCCCGCGAGAGCTTAAAAGGTCTGATTGCAATATAATAAGTCAAAAGGTGCACTGACAACATTACATTTCCCATAATGAATGGCGATTATGTTACATGTGAAGTAACAGCATCCCACCACCAGATTGCACCTTTTCCACATCATCATTTTCCAAATAAGTGGAATTGAGAAATACAAATGTCCAGGAAGAGAAAAATTGATGCAGATTGGAGGTTGTTTCAAGAAAGATAGGAAGGTGAATATATGATTGTGCTTCAAGGAGAGAAACCGCTGTGTCTTTTGTATTATGAGGCAGTGGCGGTCGTCAGAGAGTACAATCTACGTTGGCATTTTGACACCAAACATAGAGCTAAGTATGACAAAGTGAACCTTCAACCCTAATGTTATTTTGAGTTTATTATACATATTAAATGTATTTTATTACATTATGTTAAATTTGCAGCAATGTATTTGGGATTGCAGGTTTATGCGTTTATGCAGGTAATGTTTTCTATAATAATACCGTCTCTCATTAGTTGGATGAATGACCCTTGCCAGGCTGTGTGCAGCCATTTTTTTTTTTTTTTTTGTAAAATGCGTATGTTCTTAGCAGCTCACAATTGTTGGTTGGATCTTTATTCTGCCCCTCTTAACTATGGCAAAAAAGTTTTGAACAAAGTTAATGTCATAACTTGTTATTTTTCCTTATTCACTTGGAAAGTTTGATCATTGATTTATGGAGTAATGTGAATTTCATAACCTGACAAACTAAAAGGTTTTATAAACAGAGCAACAAGCAGACATATTTGTAAGTTGAATAAGTAAAAAAAAAAAACAGTTATTTAACATTAAGGAGTAGTTGTGTTTATTTTACATTACAATGAGATCATTTGTGCTACGTTTATACTGTCTTACAGTTACATCTGGCCCTTTGAGGACGAGCAACCATTACGCTGATGTGGCCCTTGGTGGAAATTAGTTTGACACCCTTGTCTTAAGGCCTACATCAGTGACCGAAGATAGTAGAAAGTGTCAGATTTTGTTTAATACTGTTTGAACTTTGCTTTTTTTGATGGAGTTTTTGAATAAACATTAAAATTTCAATCATTGCAAGAAACGTGACTGAAATTTGACTTGTGCTTCCTGTCCACTTCTAGATTGATTTTAAGATTTTATAGCTTGTTTCTAAAGTCTTGAAAGGTCATATTATCTTGTCATATTTATGTGATCTTAATATCTACACTCCAATAAGAGCACTCTGGTCTACCAACCAGTTTCTCTTAGAAGTCCCCAGATACAAACTAAGTTTAGAGGTGATCGGGCTTTTGTGGTTGCTGCTCCAAAACTGTGGAACAACTTACCTGATCATTTAAAGACCACTCAGACTTTTAAATCTTTGCTCAAGACTCGTCTGTTTTCCTCGTCATTTGATCCATGCAGAATCTGAGAACAAGTTCAAGCTGATTTTTATTGTTGTTGTGTGTTGTATTCTAGCACGGTGGAGCAATTGGTAGAGCGCCTCTCAGCAAGCAGGTTCCTGGTTCAAATCCCGGTCCAGGGGCCTTTCTGGGTGGAGTTTGCATGTTCTTTCCGTACATGTGTGGGTTTTCTCAGAGTCCTCCAGTTTCCTCCCAGAGACCAAAAACATGCATGTTAGGCTGATTGGTAACTTTAAATTGTCTCTAGGTGAGAGTGAGAGACTGAATGGTTGTTTGTCTCGTTTGTCTCTATGTGTCCCTGTGATGGACTGGAGACCTGTCCAGGGTGTCCCCCGCCTCTCACACAGTGATGGCTGGATATGGGCACCAGCGACCCCGGCGACCCAAAAACGAAGAAGCGGGTAAAGAAAATGGATGGATGAGACTTTTAAATCTTTGTTCAAGACTCGTCTGTTTTCCTCGTCATTTGATCCATGCAGAATCTGAGAACAAGTTAAAGCTGATTTTTATTGTTGTTGTGTGTTGTATTTTATTAACTTTGTTATTTGAGTGGCACACGATTTATTTTTTACTCTTTTTAAATCTGACTTGGGGCGGCTGTGTGGTTAGAGTAGTCCTCCAATGCAAGAGTTGGGGGTTTGAATCCACCAGCAGTCACATGCCGAAGTGTCCATGGGCAAGACACTGAACCCCTCATTGCCTCTGCCCTCTGGTGTGTGCCCCATCGGTGTATGAATGTGATCTAAAGCACTGATTAGTCTCTTTAGAATGATCTGTTCAATTATCTTTGTAGAGATCTAGTAGAGTGCTGTATGAATGGGTAATGAGGCACAGACTGTTGTGTAAAGCGCTTTGAGTATCTTGAAATAAGATAGAAAGGCGCTATATAAGTACAGTCCATTTACCATTTACTTAATTGTAAAGCACTTTGGCCAGCTTTAGTAGTTTTTTATGTGCTATAGAAATAAATTATAAAACAATCCCCCCCACTAGATGGCGATAAATACTAGAGAATGAGCACAAACTATTTGGCCTTGTGAAATGGCGTCTGGATGAGATGGTGTCGAAGTTATTTCCCTCGTCTCCACTCGTTTAAAGTAATAATGAGACCCAATTTAGTTCACCCTTATAGGTTACGTTTATGGATTGTCCTAAAGGAAACAACCGCCATATTTGGAGTTAGCTTTGAGCGGAAATAAAAAAAGTTTCGTTCTTTCGACCGCATATTCAACAGTTGACGCACTTCTCTCTCGAAACATACAACACATAACAATATAAAACAGTTTTATTCAAATATCGTATATGCCTAAGATATAGAAAACTTCACATGAGAGAGCGGACGTACTCCGACAGCTTAACACCAAACGTTTTATAGGAGCTATGTTTACGCCTCTCGCTAATTCACCGCCCTACTCAACTGACACTGGCGCAAAGGATTTTGGGAAATGTATTTTTAAAAATTTTTCTTCCCAACGGAGAGAACCTCAATCTGATCGCGTGCTCTACTACATTTCCTATAATCCACCGCGTTGTTGTTAGCGTCCCCATCTTGTGTCCTCCTCATGAATATATATCAACCAGGATTTGCGTAGGCGGTCGGCCGACGTTCATTTCATATCCTAGTACTGTATTTTTGGGGACGAGCAACACAGTCACGTCTCCGCCCTGATCTGCCCCTCAGCGCCCAGCCTCTTCCCAGTAAATTTAATCGGTAAAATGTTTTTTGGGGGGTGGCAGCGGAGGAGACTTCGACAGGGACAAGAAGACAAGACGAAGTGAATGACAACTAGAGGAACAACTAATCAACACCGCCCAGTTGGCGGACATTTATCACGGTGGGCACGCATCACGGCTTTTAAATGTAGATGTTTGGGGAATAACGAACTGCGCACCGACATTTATTCAGTGTAGGAGGACTCCTCTAGTTTGGTGGAGATGGAAAGTGTGCAGGCTGTCGCTGAGGACGGAGCGGCGGATGGAGGCGCGACCAAGTTCATGAAGAAGCCCAGCGGACTGTCTGTCGCCCGGGGGACTCCCGCGGATGATGGCGGTGGCCGATTGGCACCCTCCCGCGCAGCGACGACGAACGGGCATCGCATCACTCATTCCGCCTCCATGCCTGGATCTAGTGCGTCAAACCGAGCCGCGGCGTCTAATGGCCGGGGCTCGTCCGGCAACTCCAGCTCCCTCCTGTTGAGACGGCGGCGCTTGAAGAGGAACCTCTCCGCCACAGCTGCAGCCAGCACGGCCACCTCGGCAGTCGCTGCCGCCTGCGGCGCCAAGATGAGCTCGGCCCTGTCCTCTGCGTCCCTGCACACTCGGAGTCTGGATCGCAAGACTCTGCTGAAGCACCGGCAGAACATGCAGCTGCAGTCCGCGGATCGCGAGTGGGTGAGAGCCGACCTCCACCGGGGCTGCGTGCATGTCCACGACAGACTGACGCCGTCATATCCCAGGCCGGTCCTTTGCACTATGGACACCACAGCCGGCGAGGTGGCGCTCCGGCTGAGTAAACTCAGCAGCAAGTCCAGCTCCGTGATGCGCATTTTCTGTAAAGATAGTTCCAAGACTGACCAAAATGGCAACTGCAACGTGAAGTATGAATATGACGATGATCAAGTGAAAGAAGACTTGAGCATCCAACGCAGCCACCTGACCTCCTTGGAATCAGCAGCATTAAGAGGTCATCCCCGTGACAGGTTGAGGCTCCTGCTCATGGAGAATGCAGACGGCATGCAAAAGCAACAGGAAGTTGATGAGAAACTTTTCTCCCCAGAATCCGAGTCACAGGACAACATCACCTGCTCTCTGTCAGACTTAACCTCTAACATGGACACCCCTATAGATGACGACTCTGAGCATAGGAATGGCCTGGACAGCTATGGATTAAACTCTGGCTCTGATGTGGAGAGCAGTGCATTTGATGACCTGAGCTCTGGGGCCCGGCTCAGCGAGCACAGAGACTCTCTGAGTGATGACATGATTCTGGGGACAGAAGCGTCCATCCTCAGTCCCTCCTTCGATAGTGCCACAGAAGGTCATGACATGTACGGAAGCTCCTCGGATGAGTTGGAGCTAGATTGCTCCATGTCTGGCACAGCTGTGGACCCCGTTTCCCAACACCACACTAACGGCATCACTGCCGTCACTGCCAACTACAACATGGGACATTTAAACGACATGACAAAAAATGGGGGACCAGGTAGCAGACTCGACACTCACAGCCTGCCTTCCAGCAATAGTGCCAGCTCCTTGTCAAGACTCTGTTCTCAAGATAACTTACCTGATGCCCAAAATCCACACTCTGGTCAAGGTGATGTAAAACCGGTTCTGCCAGAAAACCAAAAAAGAGAGTCTTTTGATTCCAGCCCTACGCTGTATGTTCAGCTGCACGGTGAAGCTGTGAGGCGTCTAAGCCCAGATGAGAGGCCTCTGCAGATCCAGAATGACTTTCTCTTTAAGCTTGGATTTAAGGACCCTTGGAGAGTTCAAGAAGAAGGGCTTAACACAGAAATTGGCTCCTTGTTACGGTTTTATGCAGGTAAATGACATATTCATATTATTAATGATTCATGTTTCTGCTCACTTTATAGCATGTTGAAGTCGTATCTTTTTTTTTTTAGCTTAGAGTCTTCTTAACGTAGAGTTAATAGCTTGCTGAACAGTATCCAAGTGAAACAGGTGCATTGATGCAGGTGTGTAATGTGACATTTATAGAACTTGTTAAAGAATAACTCCTTTTGTTTAGATGGAGTGATACGTTCTCACAGAGGATGAGCTTGTCCCTTAATCATTGCTGCACAAGAGCAATACGGCAGTTGTCGTTTAGAGTTATTATTTAAGTTTCGCTTGACTCAGTTTTAACTGCGGTGACATTGAGTGGGATCATGCTCCAAAGGCTTTTAGTACTTGTCCAAATCCACCTTGCCTTTACAGAAGTTAATTTATTTATTTTTTGTTTCTTCCGGTTTTAATTGTCTTTATTGGCCTGTGGCAGCACACTTTGCTCCCATGGGCACCCATGACATTGGCACAAAGCTTTCACCACAACTTATAGTGCACAAACATGGGGGCCCTTTCCGGCTTTTGGCTCATTGTCATCCAAATGAAACGACTGAATGTGTTTGGATAAAGAACAGGGGAGGGAGCAGTATGGCTGGGAGGACCATAAACCCCCTCTCTGCACTCAGTGAATTTTGGTCATTGAGATGCTACACAGTGGCTGTCCCATTTGCATCCAGCACAGCTACTGTCACACCATCAGACTGCCAAGCTGGGTTAATGTGTGTCCCCAAAGCTCAGGAAGCCCCCCTTTTCACCAGTGCCATTCTGTCTTCATCACTGCTGCTGTAGGAAGTAAAATTATGACGTGTTTAAAAATGTAAGCCTAGTAAAGAAGATTGATTTGCACCTGTCGGGTGTAAAGTCGGGCAAAGTTGGAAACTCAAAAGTTTACTGTGCGAGAAGTTTTGAGTTTTCTCAGCAAACTCTGAAAATGTCTTCAACCTGCTTTGTTCTGCAGGGATTGGCTTTATTGAGGTTATACTATCTAAATTACACTGGTATGGCTATCCTTGATTGAAAATGGTGTTATCTATAGATATCAGTGCTATAACGAGGCATCACATTTTTGTTCTCAAGCAACAACAAGATACACATAATGTACTTAAACGTACTTGAGCAGCATTGACCCAAACAATTCAGCACATTTAGCCAAGTACCAGTAGTTTGGCTACAAGAGGTCAGACTTACAGCACAGCACAATGTTTTGCAAAATGTGCTATAAAAGTTGTATTGCAAAAAAAGGAAACGCAACAACCTTTCCTCGTCATTTGAAACAAAAACACACACCAGTGTACAACCAGACACTGAAGCCAAAAGAAACAAATGGCTCAGTCATGCTGGGCTACATACTTTATTCTGTCTTGTTTGACAGTAACGACTGACGCCATTATGTTTTATTTGGTCTAGGAAACAATAATTGTTGAATAAGTCTTTTTTTTATTACTTTTATTTAGTTCTACTTTAAATTTAATTCAAATTTTATCAAGTAAAAAAATTTTTTGCAGGCTGCAGATAAGTGGCAACTTTTGATTACTAAATTACTATCGCATACCACGATATGCGATCATGTTTTGGCACATGCACATGTTCATTTGTAGTGTTAGGAGCTGGTGGATGAATTTTAATACAACTTTCAGAAAGTAATCCAATAAAACTGATGAACTTTTGGAGTCAACCCCATTCAAGATGGCTGGTAAAGCTTTGCAACTTTAGTAAACGCAATAACTCGGCTCGTTTGGCGAAGAGTGAAATCAAATTGAACTTAGCTGAACATTAATGCAAAATTGGAGCCGTACACGTTGTGCACCATTTTTTTAATGTTGGACAAAATGTCATGTCGTTGCAAAAAATCCTGAAAAAAATAAAATACTTTAGTGCTTTGACTTGGCTTTGCGATATCTTGTACTGTGGCTGCTGCAGATGCCTTTTTATTAATAGATTCACACAATCATTGTGCTCAGTATGTCATCAAAAAAATAGATTATTCCCTTTTTTGTTCGCACTAAAAGTGCTTCTACCTACAAGCTGCCGGCACAAATAAAAAAAACTTCAGTACTTTTGTGTGTGTGTTAAAAATATAACAAATTAGCTTCGATAACATGGTATGATTTCAAAGTAATAACGCCCACCTTGACGTTTTTCTTCCAATGATTTAACTCCGATGGCATCATATGGAAGGCTGTGCACGTGTTCACGCTGGGGCTCATGTGGATGGATGTGCATTTAGAGGGGGGAAAATAAATCAAATGAGCCTGACATTAGTCTGTGCAGTCAGCTGAGATGTTGCAGCAGCAGCTGCTAAAGGCATGCAAAGAGGCTGTGATGCCTGATGGCAACGCCTCTACGTCCCATGTGAGACAGCTTAACTGTGGTCACCTGAGCTACTCTCCAGCATGGAAACGAGTGCCACTTACCACCCAGGCCTCAGCCACATATGTGATAGGACAACGAAGAACACTTTAACACACACATACATGTCCTATACTGTAAAAGCAGAGCTAATGGCCTTGTGACACGTCTTTGTGCTCATTTGCCATTTTCTTATGCGATGGAAGAATGTGAGGAATGTACGCAGGCTCTTCTAAAATGTTAGGCATGTCTGCTGAGCAGGAAATTGAGGAAGGGGGGGCTTGCTGGGGCAGAGTATATGAAGGGTTAGTGTGCTGACACATGTTGAGCTGACTTGGGGTGGTTGTTCTGCACAGATAGGGGAGATAGCGCCAGTCTCAGCTGACTTTCTGGCTGACCCTCACACACAGCTGCTGCTGCTCTAGCCCTCAGTCACTTTAAAGGCCTTTTTGTCTGCATAGTTGTGTATGCCAAGTGGCCTTTGAGACAAGAAGTTCAATGTCCAAATTGTGCTTTATTGTTCAATAAAATAGCAATTTAAAACCTATCCAGTACATTCTAAGCTTATCAGCTGGGCAGCAGTCTGTAATGCAATGTTAAAATTGATGACGAATGCTCAGCATGATTAGGCAAACAGGACAATGATGTGATGAGGTTGTTATGTCGACTTGAGAAGTTGCCATGGTGCATCATGCTAGATCAACCGGCCTATCCAAAGACCAGTTTGACTTTGAAGGGGTCAGGTCGGGCTCCTGAGTGTGCAGACTGCAGCGAACAGATGAGATAGCACACTTTGCCCCACGCACAGACACACACGTGTACAGAAGGGCGCCCAGATCAAAGGGACGCTGTCTTTCACAGGCTGATGAGGGATCCTTTCAGAACTATTCACACAGGAGTCTCTTGGAATGATGGCCTTTATTGGAAGAGAAGAGAAACATAATAATAAAAAAAAAAAAGGTATTTGTTAAAAAAAAAAACATACAGACATTCTGTTGCAGACGTTAAAAATACCATGTTTTCAGAAAACTTTGCATGTATGGAAGATTTTTAACTGTGTACTGAGTCTCAGCTATGGCTTAATCACCCATCTTTGGATATAAATATATAAACAGACAGACAGACGTATGTTTTTGTTCTGGTGAAAGGAGATCCTGGGCACACAAAGTAATGAAGCACCCCCTGCTTGGATGGTTTTATTCGTTTACCCAGAGGGAACTTGTAAATCGCAAAAAAGGAAATTATTTTAGCAATTTTCTCTTAAGAACAATGCCTCTCTAGTTGCTCAGTTTATTTTTTATTGTCTGTTTTGCTAGACTGTGTTGCAATTCTCTACAGAGCACCAGTGTGATTTTAACGGATAGCTAGTCTCTAACCTAAAGCAGTTTTATAATAATCAAATAAATGGCAAGCAACAAATGTCTTGATTAGGAATGTGACGTTTTCAAAATATGTGAACTTTGTTAGTCTTCACATTTTTTCAATAAAAGTTTAGTTAAATTTGGTCGCATGAATTAAGTTAAATGAATTGACTTTTAAAACTTACTACTCTTCCAAAACTTATATTACTGTATATTTCCCTAAATAACTAATTACATTATAATTAGTATCATAATTAGTATAATTAATACATCATTTTATGCAATGTAATTACCGGTACTTTATTTCCTTATGATGTGCATTTAGGGATTTTGATTTAGTCAAAACGTTTCTGTCTTTTCATAGAATCATTGGCAACATCTTATGCAGTCTATTTTTACCTTTATATCTTTGTTTCCATGGCGTTGGTTTAGTTCTCCATCCTTAGCATCTTTCATTTGTTGGTAAGAATGACTACAATTTGAGAAGAAGAAGAAAAAAAATCACAGAATTTTATAAATACTAACAAAGAAAATGTGTAAGTTTAAAGTTCTGTACTAAATCATTTTTATTAGTTCCCTTGAACTCGAAATAAGAATTTTCATTTCTTTAAAGCAACGTCGGGGACTTGAGGGAGAAACTTACCGTTAGCAGAGAATGACCCTCGTTTTAAACGCAGTTTAGTTGTTGCGTGTCATGAGTAAAGCTAACGACCACATCGGCAGAAACCGTAAAGGTGTTCATTCTTTTCTAGATGAAAGCTGATTGCATGCTGCACCTAATTTTCAGTTTATTCCCATGTTGCTGTCACTGTCCACCAGTAGAAGATTTATTCAAGGAGAATAAAATGACAATGCACCTTGTGCCTCAAGCATAAAAAAAAGAATAAATATCTTTATTTTTATACAACAACAACAAAAAAAAACCTCATAAATTAGCAATAAGAACAATTTGTTTCTCTAAATTGGATTTTAGAGCACTTTTCTATCGCACCAAATGTTCTTTGCAGTCGTTCTCAAAACAATTTTTCATGCTTATTGGCTCACTTATATTTTATTTTTATTACGTATTTAGAAACCCAAACAATGCCACTTATTTATTGATTTGACCTCAATTCACAACTCCTCAGCTGACAATTGTGACCTGCAAAGTATTTCTGAATGACAAGTCATTCTCACATTTTCAACTTTTTGACATTTGTATGTCCTGTTTATCCCTTATTCTGTCTGTTTTTCACATTATATGATTTAGTACATAACTGACATACAA